ATTGATATATAGAAAAAAAGTGATACTCACTAATAGCAAAGAAGATTTAAAAGAAGAAAAGTTCAAAAGCAATAAGCCTACTTTGAACCTATCGCAAAAGGACGAACAAAAGTAAATCCCTGAGTATAATTTGTTGCAAAGAAAAACAAAACACAAATTACCCTGTACCATCTCGAGCTTGGGCCCAGCTAGCAACTTTTATCATGCATACATGACTCCAAACTTTGAAGCATCTATCAGCAAAAAATCAAATGGAGGGAATAAAAAATATAGGAAATAAATATGATTGTGGAATGAATTTTTATGGCAAATACCGCCTTTATTTTTCATTACTGTTTGGGCTAAAATATTCACGCACGAACAATTACAATTTGTCCCGTGGGCTAATAGTAACACTGATTGTTTTGTCCATTGCTTAGCCAATTTTTTTTGTCTTTCTTTATGGTTCATTTCTCCACTTCACATATTCAAAGGAAAGTTGCTCACTTTTTAGCATCAAACCGCGATTTCAAAGTCACAAGTGGCTACAATTTTTTCCCCCATTTTTCACAAGTTGGGGTAACACAAAATATTAACTTTGATGATTCTTATTTTTCAAATATCTTTTTCTCTTGTTTGTCTAGCTAGTACTTTTTAGTCATACTCTCTAATGTTCACATGATGTGCCATTTGTTCTTAGTCTGGTTATTCATCAAAATAAGTAAATATACAATAAAAAAAAAGGCAAACACAACCAGCCAATCAAAATTAATACCAAAAAGGACTTATATTGGGCTTTACATAGCACTTGAAACAAAAAAACACCACATCCGAGTGGCTCTATTTTTTATGTTTAGTTAAGAACCAATTAAGATAAAACAATAATTTCATAACTAAAATATAACATAAAACTATGTGAAAGAACACAAAATTATAGTAATAAATCAAAGAAAGTAATAAAAGAAAAGACATATACGTAATAACAAAATTATAGAAATACCTACTCCAAAACTATACTGTATGGATTATGGAGTCTTCAGCCTGTCAGCATAAGAGGCATGGCTTGCTGCAACTTGCGAACAAAAAAACATAAATAATGTCAAATAATACACGTACTTCTAGGATACTTTGGCTTATGATTGAATGATCAAGTTAATGATTGAGATATCATTTCATTATACTATACTATCCTTGAGAAAACAAACATATCCTGGGTGATCAAGTAAAATAATACATTAACTAATAGGTTATAATGCTTTTTGTCACATGTTACCTGCAAAGTTCAAACCACAATCTCTACTATAATACCTTGAACACCTTAAGCTAAGAGCTAAGTTGACAAGAGAAAAGAGGCGCAGATAAAGTCAGAGCCATTTTAAACAAATTCTTCCAAACAGTTTCTGCATTTCAAATAGTACCGTGAGAAGATAAGAATGAGTTTATTGCACAATCAATAAAAGCCAAGGTTTCTAGAGGGGGAGTGATAGACAGGGCCAAGTGGACTAATTAATTTAAATTAAATTTTAATTAATTTTAAAGTGTTAAACTTTATACATTTATAAATTTAATTCTCAATTTTATAATTTTATTATGATAAATTTGCAACTTATTTTTAAAATTTTAACATGATTGAAAAATAAATAAATTTATTTTTTCTATTAAAATTTAAAACACAAGTTGTAAATTTATCATAATAAAATTATAAAATTGAAAGTTGAACTTGTAAATTTCTAGAGTTCAACACTTTAAAATTTAATTTAAATTAATTAATTCTTTTATGACCTATTTGTCATTCTCCCTTATTTAACTATAACCATGGTTGTAATTCAGTACAAGTTGAATTCGTTTTTTTATTTAAAGAATAACATGAATCTTGAAATATTTTTGCAATTGAAATATGAAAGTGAAGCAAGAAACATCAACTAATAAAACAAAAGCTTAGGCAGTGTTCATCCATCATAGATTAAAAAAAAAAACTTGAGCTCTAACCCGTCAACTACTACAAGTTTATAAAAATTTAAAATAAAAGTATGAGCTTAAACCAAAAAAAAAAACAAACAAACATGTGAGGGAACAATATTAATCTCACTACTTGACAAAATAGATGCTAATTGTGAGCTGGAATGACAGCTAAATAACAAATAAATACAACTTTGAATAGAGGGACCCATATCCAGCTTTAGTGTCGGATGAGCATCGAAGATGGAAAAAAACAAAGTTATAGCACACTTGAGCCAAAGAAGAATCATCAACAATATTAGTCTCAACATGGAGAGTTTCATAAAACATTTTGCAGGTAATAACAATTTATGGGGAAATAATTACAAATGAAAAATACAGCTTATGAGAAAATAACCACTCAAAAGAATTAAAATTTAAATCAAAGGAACCTGTATTGAATTTTTATAGCAAAAAAAGAGGGGGGAAGTAATCAATACAAGTAACAACATACAAAAAAGCTTTTCTTTAGATGTTGATTGATACAAGTTCTCCGTCACAAGTCATAGAATTTTTTTTTTTCAATTAACCATTTCACTTGTATTGTCCAGTCACATCCACATTAATAATAAAGTTAAAACAAACAATTCTCATGACTAGCAAAACCAATATATACCAACAATTCAAATCCTTGAATCAATTGAAGCAGAAGATAAAGATTAAATCATCTAAATTAAAGAAGCATGAAGCTAAAGGAGAAAAAAATCACAATATATTATGGTTGTCAGACCGCTAGCAAAGCATCCAAAGAGTAGGGTTTAATTTTTTTTTTAATAGGCGCATTAGAATCCATAAGCATAAAGATAACAAACTACAATAGAAACAGATATGTTCTACTTGGTCTGGATTCTGCGTTACCCTGGACATTAACTCATCCATAACAGCAAGCCATTTTCTTGCCCTTGAAATTGAAGCTTTGTAGCGTGAAAGAAGAACCAAATGCACGGTAGAATAATACCTTTAATATGAAATCTAGAGATGCACAAATCACAAAAAACCATTTATGAAGTCCCCACATAAAATACCATGATAGAAATTTGTGAAACCAAATACTGATGATTGATAAGAAATGAACTTATAGAGTCATGGGTCAAATAAGTATCACAATAGTGCCTGCAGATTTGACAAGCATGGCATTATTATATGTATGAGATGATATACAAATAATTAGAATGAAGAAGGTTAACACAATTTAAAGCACTAAATCGCGATTGGTTTTTGCTCAAAATTGTTTTCCTTAAGGCTGAAGGAAGAAAAGAATGACCTAACCCTGCGCACACTTGACACCTTGCCATTGACAGTAATCGAAGTGCTTGTGAAGGGTGTAGAGGATCCTAATGTCGTGGTTGGCTTTGGACTTGAAAGAGAGCAATTAGATAGCGTCGGAGGAGAGGATAAAATAAAGAAAAATAGAAAGAAAGGGGAAAGCAAAATCTAGCTAGCCTGACCATCAACCAACTGAATTTAAAATCATTAATTAGGATCAGCCTGACTCTTGAAAGATTAGGGCCTAAGTGGGCTAGCCCTGATAAACTTAATTATACTTCAGGGCTCTATTTCACAAAGTCGACCCTAACTTTTAGGGTTAAAGGGCTATTCCTTAAGGCATCAACTCTATTTTTTTCAATTTAAAATTATAAAAAATGTATATTTATAATTCTAACAAAAGTTATTACACATATGATTAAGTTTAAAAAAATAAATTTAAATCAGTTCACACTACAACAAATATGAAAAACCTAAACATAATAGTAACATCAAAATTAGCACTAATAAAAATTAAACTTGACCAACATTATCAGTTAAATCTTAATAAATGAATAGGGGAGGTACGAATGAGTCTAAGATATTCATTTTTTTTAGTTATATATTCAATCTTCTATTTTTAAAATTAAAATTTTTGAAAAATAACAAAAGGGCTGGCCTTGACCTTAAAGGGTCCGACCCATTTATTGTCGGGCTTAAAAGAGCCAGCTCGAGTTATCATTTTTTCCTTCAAAATAATGGCCCAACTTTAATTATTTTTGAACTTAAAAGGGCTAGCCTAACAGATTTAGCTTTAATTGATAACTTTATCTGAATCAATAGAAAGTGATAGTTGCCATCAATCAACCCTTAGATGAAACCCTAGACTACTCCTCCTACCAGTTAAGATCTCCTCGCTTTCTTCCCCCACTCATTTGGGTCAATTTTTTGGGAGAAGTTGGGGTGAAGAGAGTAAGAGGAAGAAAGATAAATGAAGCCTCTTACAAGGAGTGAAGTGCAAGGGTTGCCCATGAGGAAAAAGCGTAGAAGGGAGAGGCAAAAAGCGTGAAGAATTGGAAAAGCTGACAATAATACAGATAAAGAGAGATGTGTTTGGAGTAGAAAAAAGAGGGGGTTTTAATTTGAAAGAAACCGTGTACCTCATTAGCCAGTTCAGGGCTGCACACAGGAATAAGCCGAGAGTACTCATTGCAACGAGTTTTTGAGCCTAGAGCCACTTACTTTCTTCGCTTGGCTGGAGGAGTATTAGGAGTGATACTGATTGATGCCTCAAAACATTATCTATAGGAAAAATGACAATTCAGCTCAAAAATTAAAGTTAGTTAAATCTTTTGAATTTAGTTAATTACAAAGAAATTCCTTAAAAGCTAAACATTGGCATGCATCTTTAACGCATAATAAATGACAAAATTGTCTCTCTATTGCTTGAAAAGTTTAGTATCATATATTATTTTTGCCATCTTGTGATTATTTACATTTTCTTCTTTACAGGTTATGAGTTAAACTTCAACTTCAAAATTTAGAGTCCATTTTTTTTCCATAGATTTTCATGTTTTATTAATGACACTTAAAATCTCATATAACTTCTCTACATTTAATTACATATTCAGACTTAATCCAAGACGGCAAGGCCACCGAGAGATCTGTGATATATAATCAAAATTAAAATTCAATAATTAGCCACCTTTGTGATGGGTTGTACAAAGTATGAAGCCAGTCAAATTCAAAATGAATAAGAACAAATGGATAGCAACATGTGAACTTCTCATAGAACCAAAAAGTGTTTTGGGGGAAGGAGTGGTGTGGGTGCGGGGAGACGAGAGACAGGTGTTGACTCTCTTGCTATCCATAATAATTTCTCTTTCATCGCTTCTCAAATTGAATTCAGAAACTCATATTCGCCGCTAAGAACAGAGCAATCCGCATCTCATGTTCCTCACTGCTTAGAGTCCAACGAAATTTTGGCACTTCTTCATCATCGGCTTTGAGTTACCCCTTTCTTTCAGTAACAGTCATGACAACAACACCACAAGCGATAACATGCAAAGGTATCATATCAGTGTTATATTCTATTCTTGCAGTTTCAATTTCCACAGTGGATTGCTTTATTTCTGCAATTTCGTTGAGTCGATCGAGACGATGACGGAGGTTGGCCGATTCTGGAACCGGAAATGCTTGCAGGTGCCGTGTGGTGGGGCGGCGGAGAAAACGATGTGGCGGTGGAAGACATACAAGTGGATCCTCCGAAGCCAACCGAAGTTCGGGTCAAGATGCTCCGTGCCAGTGTCTGCCACACCGACATCCTAAGGGCCAGAGGACATCCAGTCGTAAAACTCTCTTCCTATTTTCTTTCGTTCCACAAATACACGTTTATGCACTGTACTTTTTGAAGCTATAAAAGCGTGGTCATAGTCTCATTGAGCTGGAAAATAGGTACGCTGGCCTACATATTCTCTCGCCTAGAAATTCTTTTTCCCTAAAATCAACTATTTTTTGTTATCGATTGGATTCAGCCATGAAGTATAGATTAAAATGTTCTACAATTTAAAATAAGAAATATAAATTATAATTTTAAAGTATAAACATTTGTTTAGAAGTTTAAATTTAATCAAAAAATATAAAATTGGACAATTTTTTCAGGTTGATATAAATAGGGGCTCAAACAAATAGGTGAAGCATCTTTTTTCTGAACATAAAAAGACAAATTCAGAAACCTTTATATATATATATATCCTAATTTTCAAAACCCTACTTCAAAAAAACTTTTGGCCAAAAAAAAAAGCTTTAAAAAGGCCGCTCAATGCCTTGGCATGTATTCCCAAGAATCCCAACTCTACTTGCTCTGACAATCTTCATACCAACTCACAAGAACTTTTTGATATGTATTTATATGTTAAAAAAAGAAATACACATTTCATCTCCACAAGATCTGATTTGGTCATGAGAAACCTGGAACATGGTTGATGACTTCAGGCTTGAAGCGTCTTGGATATCTCTGAAATTTTAGTTTCCGATTTTATGTTAATACCTTCAATATCTTCAATGTTCGGACATAAATAACTATATACCAGTTACCTCATCAAAGTTAATACTCTGATTTTTATGTGCAGCCTCTGTTTCCCCGAGTATTAGGGCATGAAGGAGTAGGGTAAGCTGCCTATAGTGTGTGGGTGTGGGTGTGTGTGTGTGTGTGTGTGTGTATCTATATCGGACTCTGTGTAATGCATGGAACCCAATCTGATCTAGTTTCCATTAAAACTTGACACATGTCCGAAGTTAGATACATGCTCAAGATGATGATGCATCTGACCAGCCATTTTTGAACATTTTGCAGTGTTGTTGAGAGCATTGGGGGGAAAGTAACAGATCTAGAAGTAGGCGATGTTGTGATTCCCACATGTATTGGTGAATGTCAAGAATGTGAGAACTGCATTTCAAGGGAATCAAATCTATGCCTGAAATATCCTTTGACGTTAAGTGGCTTGATGCTGGATAACACGTCTAGAATGTCCATAAGAGGTCAAAAGATATACCAACTTTTTAGTTGCTCCACATTTGCAGAGTACATGGTTACTGAAGCAAATTACCTTGTCAAAGTTGATCCCAACATTGACCTGGCTCATGCTAGCTTCATCTCTTGTGGGTTCTCAACTGGTTTTGGGGCTGTTTGGAAGGAAGCCAAGGTTGAAAGTGGATCATCTGTGGCTGTATTTGGTCTTGGAGGTGTTGGATTAGGGGTATGCATCTTTGTTTTTTTCGTTGGTTATAGATAAATTCTTCTTCGGATCATTTCTCTTAGGTAGTGTTAGGATTGGTGGATTTAAATTTAAAATTTAAAGTTCATATATTTAAAATTATTTGTTTGAATAGGCCATGAGGTTTACCTGAAGGTAAGGAGGGATAACACCTCAAACGATAGGAATTCAAAACACTCGATATTGAGACCAATATGCTGCAGAGGTTCTTAAGATCTCGACTGTTAGGGAGAGGGAATAGTTTGACTTTGACTTCAAGGCATGGACATGATTGTAACATCCCCGCTTGGCACCCTAGAGGGATGCTTTCCTTTATAAAAAATTGTGACTTCAAAGATAAAAAAAAAAAAAGGTAGGTGGGAAATGAAAATGGAAAGAGATGAAAGGATTGGAGTAGCTAACATTTCAAATAACTATAATTTAGGAAGAATTTGGAATTACAATAAAATATGAATTTTTAATTTTTATGGCTTCAGATGATGGATTAAGTTTAAATCCAAAACTCTTTGCATCCAAACACAGCATTAATTTCCCCTTCCCATGTCTTAGATTAGAACAAAGATCTTATGTTGTGTTCTAAAACTTTGGCGTGATTCACTAATTGGTTTCATTCAAGGCATTTGTCTACAATGAAATGTAGGCTATAAGTGCAGCCAGAATGATGGGGTCAACTAAGATAATTGGGATTGACAAAAATGAGATGAAGAGAGCAAAAGGAGAAGCTTTTGGAATGACAGATTTTGTGGATCCTGGTGCTTCTGATAAGCCAGTTTCAGAGTTGGTCAAGGAATTAAGTGGTGGAATGGGTGTGGATTATTCCTTTGAGTGCACTGGAGTTGCCCCTTTGCTTTCTCAGGCCTTTCAAGCCACAAAATTGGTATATTTTCATTTCATCAAGCATTAATTTTTGGTCATCACAGTGATTAGTATTTTTTAAATTTTCTGCAGACTATCTCATTCTTTGATCATCGTCAGTCTTCAAAGCATGCTCTCCTGCAGTAATATGGTGTATTTATAATTGGAAAAAGGGCATTTCAAGTAAGAAGATTAATTATAATTAAAGATCATGAAATTTTGAAATTTTAAAAATAAAGTATGGTCCTTGGTTGGAATTAAAACTTCTTAAGTGAATTTTATCAGTTCATATTTTCAGTATTTGTATTCTACAATTTTATTGCTTATCTTTAACACATTCAGTACTCAATTCTTCAATATTTCAACAGTCATCTTAAATGCTCTCAATACTTATATTTGATTCTTTTAGTACTAAAAACTTCTAAGATGACTACTACTGAAAAAATTGAAAAATTGAGTACTAAAAATATGAAATACTAGTACTGAGAAAAATTAACTCAATTTTTTTAATCCCAGCCAAAGATTGTGACCCTTATATGAAATTTCAAAATTTTAATCTCCTTAAATGTAATTAATGGTTTTAGGGGTTTTTAAATGTTATGTCCCTTCGTAATACTTTATTTAAAAAAAAAAAAAACTATCAGGAATCGAGCTCAAGTGTTTTTTGAGAGAGATGCCATCTCTTTTGCTTTATGTCATGGCTCTTTCTTTTCCTCACTTTTGTCAACTACTCCCTTTAATTTTATTTATAAGTCATGTTTAATATATTTTATTAGAATTTAAAAAAATTTAAATCTCATTAACTATATCTTAAAGTTCAATATGTTTTTATCTCTATCTCTAATAAGGACAAAAAAAATTATTTTTAATAATTTGTCATAACATTTAATAAAGGCACCAAGGTAAAGATGAGTATAAAAAATAATAAAGTGTTATATAAATATAATTAAAATTAATCTTTTTTCTTTATTCTATAAATAGGATTAAATGAGTAGATGTTTTGATTCCTAGTGGTATACTTTGTGTTATACAGGGAAAAGGAAAGACAATAGCAGTAGGTGCAGTAACTGAACAATTTGTGCACATCGACTTTGTCTCTCTCATTCTTGGGAGAACTTTAAAAGGTTCAATATTTGGAGGATTAAAACCCAAATCTCACCTCCCTTTCTTAGCTGACAAATGCTTGAAAAAGGTAAGCAAGTGTATATATAATTATATGCAGCCACACTCACTTTTTGGTGAGAAAAATGTGAAATAATAGTAATTGTCTTTGTTCTTGTTTATAGGCGTTTCCTCTTGACCAACTTCTTACCCACGAGGTGTCACTGGTAGATATAAGCAAAGCTTTGGAGCTGCTAAAACAACCAGACTGTGTTAAAGTTGTTATTAGGATATGAACATGTTGTATCATATATATCAGAATAAAAAATGCAGAGTCGCATTATTTATAAATTGATAATAACGTGACTCATTCTTGCAAGTGTGCCAAGCAACTTTAAATTTTGTGTTATTTGTGACTTTAATTTGTGCTTGAGATTTTCTGGAAAGTTATCGATTCTTGTAACCTAATTTCAATCAAATAACTTGTTAAGTTATCAAGGTGCTGAACTTAATTATTTCAAAAATTTGTGAGAGAGAGAATATTTCTAAAGATGTAAGGGTAAATTAAAAAAAAATCTGTTTCAAAGAACATCAATAATTTAACTATACTTCATTAAATTGATTCCAATGAAATAATTAGGAGTGGCTTATATATTTATATAAAAGATCAGATGGAGTCTTTAAGCACACAAATAATATTAATTTTATGATCATAGACAATCTACATTGGGTAGTGCCAACAATCTTGTAATTTTAACTTGTGCAATGAACATCATACTTGTCCGTATGCATTAATTCCATAGCATTTGTAATATATATATTATATTGAGTGAAAGAAAATTCCATTCAAAGCAAACTGTACACCAGATGAATCTAGGTGTTAAAAAGCCAGATGCCAAAAAATTCAGCAGGGACCAAAGAGACTAATAAAATTTACAAAAAATAGTTAATATCATGTAACCAATGTATGAGCATGGTAAGACTTCATTGACATATGATTAAAGACATTATGAGATTAATTACTGAACAGCCTTCGATTTCTTGATTCCCATAGTTTCAGCACAATAGTCTTTGCAATCCTTTTTTTTTTTTTTTTTCAAATGCTTGCATGCACCCACCTGGCTAAATGCTCCTCACTTCTCAGATCTTTTTAATTTTTATATTACGGTGCACCAGCGGCACACAATCAAAATCCATCTTTGTTGAGTCTTCCCAGGTGGTCCCCACCGGGTTTGCTTAATTAGTGCAAGATTTATCTGTTTCTCTTGGAAGTTTATCACGGAAACTTTATTCTGCTGCATGGTTTTGGCCGTATTTCAGACAAGTTTGAAATTTTCATACAGAAATTATTAACGGTGGAAATTCACTGTCCATAGGATTATGATACATGGCACATTGTACAGGAGGTCTACATCATCTTTATCCAAACGATTGTGTAATCCCAATGCAACTATTCAAGAGAAACATAAATATGCTATGTAGTCCCATTCATATTACCGAGACCTAACCAAACGCCATGAAATATTCGTAAAATGCATGAGAATTACATATCATCCCGATGCAAGGAAATGAACTAAACAGGGCATATAAGATTCATCAAAGAACAACCTTCGATTTCTTGATTCCGACAGTGTCCAACACAATAGCATTTGTAATCTTTTTTGAAAGAGAATAACTGCAAACATAAGTAAAAAGCTTCATGTTTCCCAGGAACGCCTGTACCAACAAGACTAAATGCTTCTCACTACTTAAAATGCTATTGTAAATAGGATCAATCTGATCACTTCACCAGTAAAATGTTGAATAAATACCGATTTAGTAAAATATTTTGCTCCCCTTGATCATATTTGACTATAATTTTAATAATTAACTCACCACTATCTTAAATTGAAGACTGATTTTCAGTACCCTTCTTCTCAGCTCTCTTATATTAAGGTGCACGAGCGCCACACAATCAAAATCCTTACGTGACTCCCTCCCAAGTGGCCCCTCCCGGGAGCAAGGTGTGATCCGATGTCCGTATGTCGCAAAATAAATACAGGAATTTATGGTGTCATCTGCTTCATTTATTTATTACAGAAACAGCGAGTATGGCTCCAACAACACCGCAAATCATTACATGCAAAGGTACTCTTTCTTCTTCCTCTTCTTATTTGGAGCTTGAAATGGCACAATAGAATGCTTGATTTCTGCAATATGGTTGAGCTGAGACTGAAGAAGCTCGGCGGATTTGGGAATCGGAAATGCAGGTGCTGTGTGGTGGGGCGGCGGAGAAAACGATGTGAGGGTGGAAGACATACAAGTCGATCCTCCCAAAGCGACCGAAGTTCGAGTGAAGGTGCTCTGTGCTAGCATCTGCCACACCGACATCGTTTGGGCCAGAGGATTTCCCATCGTAACTTTCTCCTTATTTTATTCCTCTCTTCAATTCCATCTCCAAAACATTTGGGTTAGTCGCAACTAGAAAGGGGAAACTAGGGGTGATCTTTTTCTTTTAATATGTTTTTTTTTGGGTTAAAAGTATCTCAATAATTAATCGAAAATGATTCAAAGAAAAGTTCACTGAGCGTGTCCAGGAATCCATGGCTTTATAGATTAATGTAAAGTCAAGTAAAAATTTTGATTGCTCCAAAAGAAGGCAAATTTAGAACCTACGAGACAACCTTAGCTTTACAGACACATGAGAGGAAGACAAGAGGATGAGAAATTAGAAGACGGTGAGTCCGGTATTATTGACCTCTCATAAGGCACGATGTTCAACGTGCCAGAGACCGATTTAGTAAATAATTAAAATATTAATTCTTAATTAATTTAATTATCATCTCATAAGCTCTTTAATTTAATCAGCTTTGTGCCAGGAAAAAAACTGATAACTAAAAAGTTGTAGGTTAAGTTTCTATCCAAATAAGTTTACTTGTACAGCTCTTTTATCAAGGTCGACATGAAATAATATAAGGTAAACCTTTTCAAGGTTAGATAACTAATTAGTGCAAATTCATAACATATACTACCTTTATTAAAGAATATGAGGTATTTTTTAAGGGATTGGAAGTTAATTTTTTTTTAACATTTTAAGGTGTAATTAATATGTATTTTTTAAAGTACCCCTAATAAATATATTATTTTGTATTTATTTTAAAGTAAAACCCCTTATTAAATAGAGATAAATATGAAAAGATGGTGTTAGTTTAAAAATAACTAACTACTTTATTTGAGAAGTGAGATCTGATTAATTGAGGGAGTATAAAATTAATCCAACATTCTTTTTGTATGCTAGTTGGTTGATGCAGATTCATTGAAGAATTGAGGAAGATTTGGGCAAGAAATTGAAAGTATGGGTGATATATTAGGTAAAGAAAAGCGAATGCCTATTCCAAGGGGCACAAGAGAGAAAGGAGAGAACATATGTAAAGGGGGAGGTGATATGCATTTCGTACAAAGTCACTCTTGTGATGCATAATTACATTAATATATATACGATCTAAATTAGATAATATTTCGAAACCATTAGAAGATTGGATCTGTATCCTCTGCTAGCTAGTGAATGTAGTAAAACGCATATTTAGAGAGAGAGAGAGAAATAGAAAATGAGGAGTTGGTGAAGAGAGAAAAAGTTGACACCATATTTTCACTTTTTGTAGCATTGTTTCTACTAAATATGTGGTGCACTGCTCATGATCTTAAAAGATTACATGCTTAAATCAACAAACGAAATAGAAATCAAGAGTTTGCTGAGATTTATAAATCATTCCAGGTAATCTACAAGTCTTACATCATAATTCGCAATTAAATACCCATAAAAGTCTTTAACCACTGACCATAGCCTTCATATCTTTATCCCATTTGCCATCTCGAGCATGTTAAACTTTTACGGTAATAAAAGATACTGAGATGTAATATATCAAAGAAAAAGAAGTTAATGAGTTTATCAAAGGTGAGGAGGTTCTCATTGTTTCTCACTTGTTTAAGAAACCAACAATGTGAAAGTTAACACTTCGATTTTTTGTGCAGCCTTTGGCTCCTCGAGTATTAGGGCATGAAGGAGTTGGGTAAGTAGCAAATTCCCATACTAACTTCACTTCTAAATTTAACTTTATGCGCAAGCTGATGGTGTATGACCTTCCAAAGTTGATCATATTGCAGCATTGTCGAGAGCATTGGGGAGAAAGTAACAGATCTAAAAGTAGGCGATGTTGTGATTCCCACATATGTTGGTGAATGTCAAGAATGTGAGAACTGCATTTCAAGGGAATCCAACTTTTGCCTGAAATACCCTATGAGAATAAATGGTCTAATGATGGATAACACATCAAGGATGTCCATAAGGGATCAAAAGATATTCCATCTCTTTAGTTGTTCTACATTTGCAGAGTACATGGTCACTGAAACAAACTACCTTGTCAAAGTTGATCCGGATATCGACCCGGCCAATGCTAGCTTCATCTCTTGTGGGTTCTCAACTGGTTTTGGAGCTGTTTGGAAGGAAGCCAAGGTTGAAAGTGGATCATCTGTCGCTGTTTTTGGCCTCGGTGCTGTTGGATTAGGGGTATGCTTTATTTTATCTTGAGAATGCTTTTATTTTAGTCTCTGACAGATGAAGTCTTCTGCAGATTATTTTTTCAGTTCAGTCTTTCAATCATTAAAGTGACTGTGGTTTCACCCTCGCTTCTTATTTTTATTTAAAATTTAAGGTCAAACCTGATAGTCTGTGAATTTGATCAGATTTCAGCTCATCATTTGAGTCAAATTTGTCATGTGATAAAGTTTAACGTGAGTAAACTGTCAACTTTGTGGCAAATTGTAGAAATCAAAATAGAACTCTACCAAATTGTTAGAATTTTGTCCAATACTTTTTTTTTTTTTTCGATTTTCTCTTAAGCTTAGCATGCAGGCTGGTTTCATCTAAGGCATGTTTCTGCAATGAAATGTAGGCTATAAGCGCAGCCAAAATAATGGGGGCAACTAAGATAATTGGGATTGACAAAAATGAGATGAAGAAAGTAAAAGGAGAAGCTTTTGGAATGACAGATTTTATCAATCCTGATGCATCTGACAAACCATCTTCAGAGTTGGTGAAGGAATTGAGTGGTGGAATGGGTGTGGATTATTCCTTTGAGTGCACTGGAGTTATCCCCTTGGTTTCTCAAGCCCTGCAAGCCACAAAATTGGTATTTTTCAATTCATAAAAACAATTCTATGTTTCATTTTGGGTGATAAGAGTGAAGAGTATTTCTAGATTTTAGGCAGACTAAATCTCATTCTTTAATTGTCTTGAGGGCACACTCTGTAGCATTAATCTGTTGCATTTAGAGTTTCATATCCGAAGACTTCTTAGAGGAATTAAGCTCAAGTTGTTTTGGGGAGTCTCTGTTTTTATCAACTGAAACATGCGTTTCAATCGAGCAATTTGTGGACCATTATGTTATGGCCTTTTTCTTTTCTTTTTTTTTTTTAAAAAAAACTAATATTTGATTTTTATAATTTTGATATAGTTAAAATTTAACTCTTGAATTTTGACTTACATCTCAGTCGCTGTAGTTTTTTCTATTTAAATTGTTGGTTCTTGCATTTTAGAAAATAAAATTGTAAAAATAAAGTTATTATCAAAACTTAGAAAATGTTTTGAATGGATTGGATTGTATCGAGTTAAAATTTAAGATTTAAGTTACAACTAAATCAGACTATAAAGATTGAGTTGAATTGAGTTAAAATTAATGGATTAAGTTGCAATTGAGTCAAAAATAAAAAAAAAATCAAATGATTAATTTCCCTTCTCTTTTTTGGGGTTTTGAAGTGGACGGATTAATTCTGTTACTTTTTATGTATAGGGAAAGGGAAAGACAATAGCAATTGGTTCAGTAACTGAAGAATTTGTGCCCATCAACTTTCGTTCTATCTTACTTGGGCGAACTTTAAAAGGTTCCCTTTTTGGAGGACTAAAGCCCCAATCTGACCTGCCTTTCATAATTGACAAATGCCTCAAGAAGGTTAGCTTTTTTACACTACTTAGTATTTACTGATCAAATCTGTAATTTGATTGACTGTTTTCCTATTTACAGGAGTTCCCTCTTCGTGAACTGCTAACTCATGAAGTGCCCTTGACAGATATAGACAAAGCTTTGGAGCTATTAGGAAAACCAGATTGTATCAAAGTTGTCATTAGGATGTGAATATGATGTTGTTGTAAATTGTTTGCAAGTCTCCCAGCAAATTGCCTGTCCTTGTATCGTGGTTTTCAGGTTTTAATCCAGCAGAACTTCGGATGATTAGCTATAAAGTTTTAATCAATCCTTTCCAATAATAACAATAATAGCTCAATTTATAACACTTGCGTTAATTAACGTTGGCAATCTTTTTCCTCGTTGTTCATGAAAAATCAATATTCCAAAGATAAGTGGTGTCATATAATTTACATATTTTGTTATGCTCCATTAACATTTGGCCTCTATTTAAAAATCCAAATTCATCTATCCCCCAATCTTAATGGATATTCTTCCAATCTAAAACTAACAATATTTAGAAAGATAAGTCAAGAAAAAAAGCCAAGAGACTGCTGACCCCAACTAAAAGAATATTAATGAAAGACTCTTAAAAAAATTAATATTTAATAAAGATTTGGTTGATACTTTGCAGGCCTTTTCTTTTTAATAATTAATGTGTACTAGTCAAAAGTTTTTTTTTAAAATTAAGTTGTGTCTTGAGTTCTTTGCCGGTATTCTCCCAAAAAAAAAAAAAGACCGAAGCATCACAGTTTGAAACCATAGCTTTTCCTTCATTGAGTTGACATTAACAATGGGAGGTTACAAGCTGTAAAACCCGGCGTCTCCCTCTTAGCTAATTAACAAAGGCCATTGGCACGGGTGCTCTTTCTAAGCGGAGCAACCTTCTACTGTTCTTCGTGGTTCACCGTCTCTTCCAGGTGGTCCCCACTCGGAGCAAAACTCTATCCAATATCCCCAGAATATTTGGGCATTTATGTATTATCGGCTGTGTGCTTCATTTATTACAGAAGCAGTGGGAGCATGGCCGCAACGCCGCAAGTTATTACATGCAAAGGTCTTCTTCTTCTTCTTCCTCCTCTTCCTCTTCTTCTTGTTCTAGTTTCAAATGCTATAATAGACTGCTTGATTTCTGAAATATCGTTGACTTGAGACTGAAGAAGACCTGCGGATTCTGGCTGTGGAAATGCAGGTGCTGTATGGTGGGGAGGCGGAGAAAATGATGTAAAGTTGCAAGACATACAAGTGGATCCTCCCAAACCTACCGAAGCTCGCATCAAGATGCTCTTCGCCAGTGTCTGCCACACCGACCTCCTTAGGGCCACAGGGTTTCCACTTGTAACTCTCTCTCTCTTTCTCTCTCTGTGTGTCTCAATTTCATATCGAAAAGATTCCGTTTTGTCAGAAAAGGTTTCAAGAAATGCAGTAATTTCCTACTTATTATCATTTTCTTATTGAACTCTTTCTATTTTTATTTTTTTTAACAGATATTGAACTCTTTCTATTTATTATGGATTCTTTTAGCGCACTAGCTAGTTGGTTGATGCGGAGTCAATGAAGAATTGAGGTAGAACTTGAGAAGAAAATATATATCAGTTCAGGGCTTGATCTACAAGTTTTACTTTGTTTACTGTGTGACCATCACGCAGATCATAAATTCATAGTTCACAATGAAATACCCATAAAAGTCTCCCGTGGCCATCATAAAATTCTTATACCATTTGCCGTCACTAGTATATTAAACTTTGTAACTTGTACAATATTAAAAGATACCAAAATATAAGATATGGTATTCAAAATTCTTGATCTAACTTATCAAAGAAGAAGCAGTGAATGAGTCTGTCAAAGGTGGCTTTCTCATTGCCTCTAAGTTGTATAAGAAACCAACAATGTGGAAGTTAATGCTTTAATTTTCTGTGCAGCCTTTGTTTCCTCGAGTATTGGGGCATGAAGGAGTTGGGTAATCAGCGAATTCCCATTATAATTTCATCTCTAAAGTTAACTATATGCTCAAGATGGTGTGTGTGTGTGTGTGTGTGTGTGTGTGTAACTTCCCATTGTTGTTGTTGAACATATTGCAGTGTTGTTGAGAGTATTGGGGAGAAAGTAACAGATCTAGAAGTAGGCGATGTTGTGATTCCAACATATATTGGTGAATGTCGAGAATGTGAGAACTGCATTTCAAGGGAATCCAACTTTTGCCTGAAATACCCTATAATAATCAGCGGCCTAATGCTGGATAACACTTCAAGGATGTCCATAGGAGATCAAAAGATATTCCATCTTTTTAGTTGTTCCACATTTGCAGAGTACATGATAACTGACGCAAATTACCTTGTCAAAGTTGATCCCAACATTGACCCAGCCCATGCTAGCATCATCTCGTGTGGGTTCTCAACTGGTTTTGGGGCTGTTTGGAAGGAAGCCAAGGTTGAAAGTGGATCATCCGTTGCTGTTTTTGGCCTTGGCGGCGTTGGCTTAGGGGTACAAAATTTTTCTTGAGAATACTTTTATTTTAGTCTCTTGACGGATGAAGTCATCTGCTGATCATTTTTTCAGTTTAGTCTTTCAATCATTGAAACGATTGTAAACTGTCAAATTTGGTACAAATTAATAGAAGCAGTTTTATAGAAAATCTAAATGGAACTCCACCTAGTTGGTAGGATTTTGTTCCAATATATATATATATATATTTGGTTTGATTTGCCTAGTATGTAGACAGGCTTGTAAGGCACCTCTTTGCTATGCAATGTAGGCTATTAGCGCGGCCAAAATGATGGGGGCAGCTAAGATAATTGGTATTGACAAAAATGAAGTGAAGAGAGCAAAAGGAGAAGCTTTTGGAATGACTGATTTTGTCAATCCTGATGCATCTGATAAATCAGCTTCAGAGTTGGTCAAGGAACTGAGTGGTGGAATGGGTGTGGATTATTCCTTTGAGTGCACCGGAGTTGCCCCTTGTCTTACTCAGGCGCTGCAAGCCACGAAATTGGTATATTCCAACTCCTGAAAGCAAATTTTTTTTTTTTTTTTGCCCGAAAAGCAATTCATTTTAGGTTATTACATTGAGCAGTATTTCTAGATTTCATGCAGACTAAATCTGATTTTTTTTTTTTTTTAATGACCTCAAGGGCTCACTCAGTAGCATTAGAATTTGATTTCCCAAGAGTGTTTTGAGGAATTGAACTCAAGTTGTTTTATTGTCTCTTTTTTATCACCTGCAACACGCATGTTTCAATCAAGCAATTTATTAACCAAGATGTCATGGTTCTTCTCCTTTCATTTTCTGTTCTGAAGTAGACGTGTTGATTCTGTTGGTGGCATACTCTGTTCATACAGGGGAAAGGAAAGACAATAGTAATTGGTTCAGTAACTGAAGAATTTGTGAGCATCAACTTTCGATCTCTTTTACTTGGTCGAACTTTAAAAGGATCTGCTTTTGGAGGACTAAAACCCAAATCTGACCTGCCTTTCATAGTTGACAAATGCCTGAAAAAGGTCAGTATTTCTTCGATACAAGTACAAGCACACGCACACGCACACGCAAAATCTAGTTACTGATCAAGTTTGTAATGATAGTTGATTGTGTTCCTTTTCACAGGAGTTCCCTCTTCATGAACTTCTAACTCATGAAGTGTCATTGACGGATATAGACAAAGCTTTGTGGCTATTGAAACAACCAGATTGTGTCAAAGTTGTCATTAGGATGTGAATATGATACTGTCGTACATTGTGCGTGGTTTGTATTTGAATGTCAATCCTTGTACCGTAGTTTTAGTCAAGCACGCTTTTTTGTATTAACTATACTTGAAAATTAAGTGGTGCCATATCATGCACACATTTTTATTGTCAGAAAAATTGGGCGTCAGGATCAAAACAGTGAAATATTTGGGACGAAGGGCTAGTAATCCTTAAAGCTGCATTACAGATCTGCAATCAAACTTCAAGAATCATCCAGGTAGATTTTTTTTTTTAAAAAAAAAAAATTGAACTCGATTGCAGATTTTAGAATTTGCAATGTTGCTTTAACTGTTGGTCTTTTCTCCCAAATATTTCACCCTTTTGGTTCTTATGCCCAATTTTTACTTTATTGCCTTCGTCATTGTGTCATGTTTCTGGTAGCCGGGTAAGAAAGAAAGAAAGAACCTGCATGAGAAAGAAAAAAGATGAAACCTCCCACAAAATAATCCGGTTTCAATCAATCAAGCAGGCTTTACACGAACAATTCATATTCTTCACAATAACAGTGGACTCTAATTTTCGTATTAATGCATCTCTAACTTTACAATACCTTTTTTTTTGGCTCATTTTTTATCGACGAAACACCAATATTAATTCAAAAACAATGTAATATCAATCATATCTCATATCTATACCATCATCTCATAGGTCTAAGGAAGAAAGAAAAACAGTAGGAGCATTCACAACCACAGGAAATAATATGATAGCAATGAGCAAAATAGTTCAATTCAATTAGAAAGACCTGAAAAGAAGAGAGGAGACCTTGCTTGAGTGTAAAGACTAAGAATGTTGAGAGGGCCGAATTGAGAGCTCTTAATTAGAAGAGCGTGGATGGAATGTGATGTGAGATATTATATAGAGCTTCTGAATGGTCCAACCACATACTACACTCACTCATCACATCACTTTATTTTTATTATATTATTAAATTAAATAACAAAAACGAGAGACGATGTGTGTGGGGATGTGATGTGATGTGAATGGGTGAATGAGAAAGGGAGAATGAGACTGACTGCACCAACTTGACACTGCATAAACATACAAAAACAGGTGGTTGGGAGTGATGATGGTCATGTGAATGCTACTACTTGCTTAGAATATATTATGAAAACTTTATTAAAAAAAAAAAAGAAAGAATATATTATGAAAGCGTATATGAACTGTGGACTGATAGAAAAAGAATATATTATGAAATAGAGAATGATGAAGCATCCCGCATTTTGTCTAGTAGAAAAAACTTCTAATTCCTACTAGAAAAACTTCTAATTCCTAACTTGTCATTGTGTCATGTTTCTAGTAGCCGAGTAAGTAAGAAAGAACCGGCATGAGAAAGAAAAAAGATGAAACCTCCCACAAAATTATCTGGTTTCAATCAATCAGGCAGGCTTTACATGAGCAATTCATATTCTTCACAATAACACTTGACTCCATAATTCTCGTATTAATGCATCTCTAACTTTACCCTCTTTTTTTTGGCTCATTTTTTATTGACGAAACACCAATATTACTTCAAAAACAAAGTAGTATCAAGCGTATCTCATATCTATCTCAGCAACAGTGTTTCTTCGCTCATAGGTCTCCTCCCTTAATGAATTAATACAATTCGTCACTACTCAATTTTATAAGCAGAGAGAATCAGACAAAAATCAAAGTTGGTCGTAGCTTGACTTCTGGTAGAATAAAACCCACTACCATCATCACTCTCACAACCAGATAATGCACTGCCTTCTCTTTCACTGTCTGGTTCTAAAGGTCCTGGCTTGAATATGAACAGACCAGCCCCACCTGGACCACTCTCACTGAACAACCAATCATGAACGTCCCACAACACTTGCACGGGTTGTTTATTCACAATAACTGTCTGATTCCCTCGAAACTTCCATTGCAAGTTTCTCACATGAATCATCACTATCCCATCAATGCTCACCCACATTTCTGGGTCTTTGTTCTGCCCGGAATTCGAACTCTCCACCACTATGTCACTGTCTCTACCACTCTCGTCGAAGCACGCTTTCGTTGAGAAACTTTTCTTGGCGAACACGTTTTCCTTCTTTGTCACCAAGACTGCATCAGTTAGTGGAGATTTTGCCTTCGTTCTCTTGTAGACTTTCTTCTTGTAGTCTCCCAATAACAAGACAATCTCTTCGTCGGACACCAGTGCGACATAGTAGTCACTGCTCGGCTCTGGGCTGCTGGAGAACTTGGCAGACCGGAGGTCCCAGTAAACTTCCACTTGATGGCCGTCGACAATGAATGACTTGTAGCCTTTCTTGCTCCAGAAGTGCCATGGCTTCACGTCAATCTTGCAGTTGTACTGAATCTCACCTCCCAATCCATCAACTGTTAGGTGTAATGAATGGTTCATGTAATTTTTAGTCCATAATATCGTCAAGTTTCTCCAATATCCCACCATGTTGACTTGATAAATGCTCGTGACAGTGCTTTGAGCAGATTTGCTCGGCACAGGTTCTTCTATGATTCTGTCCACTATTGGTGATCTTGATGACACTACCTGTTCTCGGAAGGAACGATAGAATGCCATGTGTGTGTGTTTGTGTGTGTCTATAGCAATTTCCCCCCTCAGATATTAACTAACATAGCAATATCAATGGTGATTTCAATGAAAGCTATATATATTTGTTATATATATAGCAGTGTCGCTCTGGGCTAACACTGCATCACAAAAATGCCACCTTTGTTCTCCTGTTTTCTCAAGAGGCTATTCTTGAGTTCTCTGGTTGGTTTCTGGGTTCATCATCATCCCTCAGAAGATTGATGAATTAATCGTAAGTTGCAGAGCTGACATGCACGGTTTTGACCGAACAAAGCTTGTGAATGGAGAGGGAGAGATTGATGAGTAGGGTTGGAGTCTGCAGGGACGAAAATGGTTGATTTGAGAAGAAAAGTGATGAAAGAATTTTTGGGAAGAGAACAGAGAGAGATAGGAATGGGGAAGAAAGTTAGTTTTGAGGAGAGAAAATTTCTCGAGGTAGAGGCTGAAAAGAGAGGTAAAGGCGAAAGAGAAGGAAAGGAAGAATAAGGGAATGTGACAATAGGACGATGTGTTGGTGAAATTTATAGCATATATTAATGTGTAAGAGTAGCCAATTCCAACTCTAATGTGCTGTTTGAATATAAAACGACTATGTTTGTTAACGAATCATAAGAATGATGTTTACCGGTTACTTGCTATGGCCATGGCCCTATTCATGCATAGATGATACTACAAATTTTTTCTCGTTTTAGACCCAAAAAAGAAATGTTTTTCTCTGCTTTTCATTTTTTGTCGTTGACGAAAGAAAAGCATTAAATTTTATATATAAAATAAAGTAACCTTATAAAAGACATTATATAATATTTACTTAATTATTAAAAAGATTTTATTTACGTCTTTAACAACTTTATGGTTTCAAAATTCTTCTTCGGAGATTTTTTTTTTAATTTCTGGACGTTTTCTTTCTGGCTGAGTAATTTCTAGAAGTTAAACTCTAAAACAAGGTGAATCAAGTTTAGCAAACTTGATGAAATCAGACAATGTTCTATTAACCTTTACCTTTTCCAATTTACAGCAATCGAGATCCTTTCTAGCAATGAATGTCAAGTTTTTTCTCGTCTTTATAACAGTCATCACATTTATTTTCCGGCCTAAATTTAAATATTATTCTTCGCTATATTGCACCCTTTCATTTGACATGAAAAGGCCTGTTTCAGTAATATAATTCTAAATTTTTGGATAGCAAAAAAAAAAAAATTATGATTAAAATGAAGATTAAGGGAAAAAAAATTAAATATTTGGACCCGAAGAAGATCCATTTTTTACGTTGAAGAAGGTCCAGGTTTCATTTAAAGAGATTTTTTTTTTTTTTAAGAATCATGCATTAATTTTGGTTTCGAGAACATTTGTTAGAATTGACCACTGGTAATAATATGCACAAAATAAAATAGGAAGTTAAATCTGAACTAGAAATCTAGAATGAATGCCTAATAATCCGTGAACCATTAAACTTCTATTGGATTTCAGGTGCATCACAAGAAAACCAATTTTATTTCTCAAAACATCTTTTTAGGACGATAAATATAAAAAATTATAAAAATTATCATAGGAACAACAATCACATTTGAATGTAACACTAATTTCCAAATTCCAGATACAACAATAGCCAATAAGGACATTATTTAGACCATCCAGGCGAACAATATACAGGCAGAAGGAATAAGAATTAAGAAAGGAACTAAATTTAACTTAGATTGAATATAAAATAATTACCATTTACCAGTAGTCTCCACAAGAGCAAAACCCATCCTTGAAATGATGAAACCGATATGCATCACGCATAATAAGTTCCCTAGAGGTGACAGAAGACATTAACTTTATCACCAAGTGACAATCATCACAGACACGAAGGTTTTTCATCACACGTACGGGCATCCAAGATGGCAAGCTAATTAGGCCAAAGGCAAAAGCAAGCTTTTCACTATGGTACTTCCGACTCCGATAAGCATCAGCAGCACAAATATATCTTCCTGTATCTTCAATCTTCTTCATCGTCTCTTCCAATTTCATGTAAATTTCCTTTACCTGTGGATGACTGGTGTCATCTACAGTGAATACATGTACCCTGTGATCAACCTCTATCCAACTACAACCAGGGCTCTTCCTAATTCCTCTCTCTTTCATCATCTTTCTCACATTGGCAAGGCCTTCCAGCTCTCCAGTATCAGTGTAAATATTCGCCAGAAGAACATAACTTCCAGAATCTTCAGCGCTCAACTCTGTCAAATTCTTGACTGCAATTTCTGCTAGTTTTGAGTCATGATGGATACGACATGCTCCTAGCAGAGCTCCCCAGACAGCGGCACTTGGCTTGAAAGGCATTCCTTCTATCAAATTCTTGGCCTCATCCAGTGATCCAGCTCGTCCGAGCATATCTACCATACAAGCAAAATGTTCATTTGCAGGGGAAATGTGAAAATCTTTAACCATGGAGTCAAAATAGTGCTTCCCTTCTTCGACTAGTCCCAAGTGACTGCAACCAGATAAAACAGCAACATAACTTATATGATCAGGTGTGCACTGCGTCTTCAACATATCCTCAAATGTCTCAATTACTTTCCTGCCTAAACCATTTTGAGCATATCCTGCCATCATAGCATTCCAAGAAACCAGGTTTTTGTCATGTATTGAGTTAAAAACCTTTTTTGCTTCTTTGATTTGCCCGCATCTTGAATACATGGTAACAATGGCATTTAAAACTGCAATATCAGAACCAAGGCCAAGCTTTTCAACTTGAGATACAACTTGCATCCCAAGTTTTAAAATAGCCAAGTCAGCACATGCGCTCATTGAAGTTGTGAAGGTGATCCAATCTGGTTCAATTCCTTTCCTTTTCATTGAAATAAACAACTTAAGACCTTCTTCCCAGCCACCATGTTGAACATACATGCTTAACATCGAGTTCCAAGTAATGACATTACGCTCAGGCATGTTATCAAAATATTCCCAAGCCTTTTCAATGTCACCTATTTGAGAATATGCAGTGATCATTGCTGTCCATGATATTATATCTTTAATTGGCATTAATCCAAATACACGGCTAGCTTTCTCAATACTTCCACACTTTGTATACATTGTAATGATAGCATTCCCCACAGGAACAGATGAATCCATTCCACTCTTTATTGTATATTCATGAAGTAATTCTCCAATGGTGGCATAGTTTTGACCCGAACAAATCCCGAGTACAGTGGAAAGGGTAAATTCATCCAGCCTCACTGGAGACCACCTCATTTGGTTAAATAGTGATAATGCATCTTCTTCAAGTCCAAACTGTGCCAGTCCACTGATCAAAGAAGTCCACGAAACTTCATTATGTTCCGTTAAATTTTCAAATACACGCCTTGCAAGTTCTAAGCATCCACATTTTGCATACATGTCAACCAGCCCACCTCCTGTAAAGGCATCAACGTTATGTTCCATGCGAATAATCCGAGCATGCAAATGACTACCCCACTCAAGCTCAAATATGCTAGCACATGCACTTAGTACACTACCATAGGTCATAGAATTTGGTCTAAATCCCTTACTGCACATCTTAACAAACATACTAAGACTTTGGGCCCCAAAGCCATGTTGTGAGAGAATTGAGATCATCGTGTTCCAAGAAACTGAGTCATGTTCAGGCATATGAGAGAATGTACTGAGAGCCTTCTGAACTCCATGTGATCTAGAATAACCATATATCATACTGTTCCAACAAAATAAACTTGGATTTTCAATATTTGAAAACACTTTCTCAGCAGAACTCACAGCTCCACACTTAATATACATATCAACAATTGCATTATTAACGCAAATTTCACTAAATAAACCCAATTTCATCACATGGCCATGCAATTGAACAGCCAATTTAACGAAGCCAAGGCATGCACAAGCCTTCAATGCACAACAGAAGGGAAATGGATCATTAATATGATTAAAATCCCAAGCCATTAACATGAAAGTTTTTATACTATCACCAGGCCTCCCATTTTGACAGTAGCCTGACATCATAGTGGTCCAGGAAACCAAGTCTCTTTTAGGCATTTTTTCAAACAGGTCCTCTGCTTCCTTCATCCTACCCGAATCAACAAACCCATGGATCATTGTATTCCAACTGAAGATATTAAGATGATTGCTATCACGGAAAACTTGGAAGGCATCATCAATCAAGCCACATTTTTTATACATATGCAGTAGATTGTTCTGCAAGAAAGTAGAAGTGTCCAAACCAGAGACTATGAGTTGGCCATGAAGTGTTTGAGCAATAGGTATTGCCTCAACTGAAGCACAAATCTTCATAGCATTGTAAAACTCCTGGGTTATTTCCATGTAAGACAAGTGACCAGAATGGTCATGCCTAATAACAAGTTTGGGGGACAAATTTTGCTGGGTAGAAGCCAACACATAATGAACAATTTTGTGTGGAAGTTGTTGGAACGCTTTAACTTGGTAACCACTCCCAATTAAGCATTTGTAAAGTTGAACTCTCATTTGACTGAGAAATAGAAGAAATTCAAATTAAATTTGAAAGAGAGCTTTCCGGGCAAATAAAAGATAAATAAATTGAAGAGAACTCGTCAACATGACAGCAGATTCAATGGGCTTTATAGGCATTTTAACAAAAGTTTGACCATATTTACCGAAGATGGCTATTGATTGTTACACAAGCTGGGAAGACGCCTCATCAACGCCTAGTTTGCACCTGATGGTGAAACTTCCTTTAGCAATTGATGGAGAATTAACAATATGGCATATTAAGCCTGACATTGAGTAGTATGAGATGCTTAATAGGAAATTTAAGTGTGTTTGTTCTCTCGCCTTAATAATTAGCTTTTAGGGTAGGATTTCCCATCCCAGTTAGGTACCCATCAATTGATACCAAACCAATTCATTAGCATTTCCAGAGAGAGCTGCAAGAAAAAATGGGATTGTATCATAATCAGGTTGATGCAACTTAGAGGATTTTATTACAAGCAACAAAATACATTGCACCAAAACCATTGAATTCAAAAACTACTTGAGGGGGGGGACTAATAATCAAAGAGTACATGCAAGTAACAAACAGTTAAGCCAAGATATTTGGAGACTCCAAGAACTAATTACACAAGCTAACTGAATATGTGGGCAACAACAAATATTTCCCGAGTACTCTGTGACCTAATTTTGTAAGAAATTAAATGTGTAATGAATTGAGACACATTATTGTCAGTGTTTGCTGCAATGTCTTTGCAAAGTCTACAGGGAGATATGCAAAAGATTGCATTGTTTCCTGGAGAGGTAGAAAGGTTAAGTAAAAGGTAAGTTGTGAAGATTCTTACATTGATCTTCAAATTACAATTGAATAAACAGGAATAGCAAGAGTTGAAATCTAAAAAGAAGAAAAAATGTAGCAGAAATGAGTACTTACATTTGTAAAAATGAACTCACCATTGTTAGCAAGTGAAGTGAAACCCAAAAGAGTCAGCAAAATAGATTATGGTAAACCTTCTGAGCCTAAGCCTGCTTCAGGGATTAGCAAGAAAAGGAAAAGGGTTGCATCAGCTCTAATATACACATCCCCCAAATGCCACTATAAATTACAGCTTTTAGAATGATAAAGCAAATCGTTGAAAACTATAAACAATGTGCTAGCTTTTTTTGGCCGTGAATGCATCATAACCCTAATTCAAAACAATTTCTTTAGAACTCTTAGAAGCTTGATCATTAAAATTCTCAACAAATCAGCAAATAACACAGAGATACTGAATATCTCTACCTCTTAAATTGAGATTTGGAGTATCTACTCAAATATGAAATCATACATGCATATTTAAAAAGTGTAATAACCAACGCATGTTGGAATATTTGACTCCAAAATGGGATAACTGACTCCAAAACTTTTAGGACATTCAGTTCCTTTATCTGATGTTGAGGAGGCATACTTCAGTGTACAATTAAACCCTATTCCTATCAAATGATTCCAGTTGTGCATGCTATAAAAAAAGTAAGAAAAATTTTAAGCTCTCAATTTACCAGGAAGTGAACTCCTCTATAGTAATCCACAGTCTGTTTGCTGTTTGCACGTTGCCAGCCATCATGCATCCTGCATCCAAAGGATTTAGCAACTAATGGAGAAGTTGGTGCGAGCACTAGCAGTCTCAATCACACTTACGGAAGTATCAACTTAAAATTTAGATGACTAAAGCTAATGCAATTCCAGTGAAAATCAATATGTGAATGATGTTATAAAATACATTTCTTGATCATTCTGCTTAAAAAACAAAACAAAATCAGCTAAGAAAATACTTAAAATAATAATGAAGTAACAACAATTTAAAATAAAAAGAATAGGACAACCTGAACAAAAGCACAGACACGAGCAAATCTTTATATTTCATAATTCTCCAAATTCTATCAAAGAAAACAATGATTGAAGATTTTTGTGCTAAAAGTTGGTTATTACACCTCAAATTCTCCAAGTCTCTTCAAGTTCCATCTTCAAACAAACATTAAATACTCTTGATATCTCCATTACTCACCAAAAATTTAATAGATAACCATGGCCCAAAAAAATCCATGAAAATGACCAGCATACCACTCAGCTTTCAAATACAATGAATGATTTTGATTCTGTTGTTGACAACTTTTACCGAATATATCAGAACAGGATGAAGACTTGCTAGCTGTTTGTGCTCTATCCTCAATCATCGTTTGCTTCATCGACGTGCCTGCTTCTTTGAAGGAGAACAATGGTTTTGTCTAGTGTCTGTGTTGAGTCGGGCTCGGCCTGGTTCGCGCTGCGCAGGTCCAGAGTCTCGGACTCCCTTTGGTTCCAGGTGGTTCTACTTCGGGTTCGGGAAAACGTTGCGTTTTGTTTCACTGCTCTGCATCTCGGCCGTTCACATAATCAACGGTTCAGAAATATCGCTTACTTACATTTTTTTCCCGATAAAAAAAGCCATTTTACACAAAAAATAAACCATTAACATACGGAAAACTTGACAGCAGAAGCATATGGCTTGTTTGGTTTTTTTCTTGCCTTTTGTTTTAAAAATTATTTTGCAATACAATTTTTAGAATTATTTTTAAAACAAAACAAAATAAAAAATTGTTTGGTTATGTTAATTTTAAAAATAATTTTTAAATTAAAAAGTAGACTGATAGTGATGATTATATGCAGTTAATAGTAGTGATTTATAATTAAAAATTGATTAAGATAACTGTAAGTTATAATAATCAAATGCAATGTATTTTAAAAATAAAAAATAAAATCAAAACAACTTAAAATTATTTCTATTTTTTTGTTTTTAAAAATAAAAAATAAAAAATGAAAACATTTTGAAAAAATTAAATTGAAAATTCTTATCCAAAAAGATTTTAAAATTTTTTATTTTCAAAAAAAAATAATTTTTAAAAATAGAAAACAAACAAGGCCTAGCATCCTCGTTTACCCATTAAGGTGAGGAGCCACACAATTGGGTGAATCTATTATGGAGCACGATGAATAGTGGCTAAAAGATGGAGAGTGATGACCCCTACTAAGGCTCTGGCCATTGTAGACACTATGCTTGATGACAGCAGTTCCATATAGTTTTAGAATGCATTTTTCAAGTCTGATTGTATGACCCTTGACACTCCTATACCTCTTATGGAGAAGGTAAGATGGAGCAAGGGGTTTAGGATTCAATTGCCTTGATCTCTATTCATCACCCTCCAACAAGTGGATTTTGGGTTTCACATGGATTCTTCACATTGTTGCAGATGCTCCAATTAATCTTTGGCATTAACTTCTCTTTATGCCCTCCCTCTTTCTCTTACTTTGATATCAGGGAGAACCAGTAACTTAAGATTAGCTAAGAATGAGATAAAAATGGTGATGAGTTGGCATATTGAGATCTAGAAAGTGTTTCGTAATTGAAGATTAATTTGTAGTCCATCTCAGTAGGCAGTCAATCCACTCTTCGCAAGTGTTTTGTCAAAACATTATTTTTTAAAACTATAAAAAAAGGTATCATGATCTTGAAATTTGATTTTTAACATTTTGTAATCCAAAATAATTATTATTGATTTTCAAGGATCCTTAATTGTGATTTTATCAAAAATTAACCCCAAGAAACCTAAAGTAGAGAGAAAAATAGGTTTTAAATTTAGAATAAATATGTGAATGTATAAACTAAAAATGCATGGGATAAAGCTAATATCCGGTATACAATGGATACTGTCAAGAGCTTCTTCATTTAATAATGCCTCGCATCCCCTTAAAAGAGAAAGGTTGTGTGTTCTATCTCTCATGCAGTTAAGGGATGGGTTGTGTGTGAGTGTGATGGATGTGTGTATTATTCTTTCCTTTTGAGTAAGAGCCACTTTTCTCTATGAGAATATGTGTATGTATCTATGTAGATGTGTGTGGGGGATATTTATATTTGATCCCTTTCAAAAAAAAAAAACCATCCAAGAAATGCAAAAGGAAAAAAATTGAAATCAAGAAGGCAATGGGTTAGGGCATATGGTGAAGCAGATCTCTCTTTGGCTATTTTTTTTTTTACATTATTTGTTTTATAATGTATTTTATTATTAATGTTGTTAGCATATTCTTAAATTTAAAATCCATAAATCCTAATTTAATTTGACAAAAATATATTAAGTTTATAAATGTAAATCTCAATAATATTTTTAAACATATTAATAGGGTTTAAGAGTCACAATAATGCTAACTATTCTACAATGGTCTTAGGGGAGTTTTAATATATTAAAGGGATTAAGTTTAGTAGAAAGGGCTAGTTTTTCACAATATAATGAATCAATATTTGAATTCTCTACAAGCAGAGGTGTAACATCCTCAAAATTTAAACTTGATTAACTAAGCTTGATTAGAGTAATTAAGTTTATTAATCAGGTGTGTGACTAGAGAGATCTAAGTGGCATGTTTAGTTGCAATTTCAACCCTAAATGTGAGTTCAAAATGAAGTCGAGTCACCTAAATATGAAAGAGAAAGAAAATTTGAAGGATGAGATTTTGTGCCACACATTGTAACATGTGGCTCATCCACCATGGCACATGTGTGGTAATGCACCTGGGCAAGACTTTCTTGTGCCATGAGCCATGGCACATGGCTACTTTTCTACAGAAATAAGAGCGTATTAAATGTAAAAAAATTGAGAAGAAACAAAAGAAAAATGAAGGAGCAACGGAAGAACTCTGCTAGGGCTTAAGGGATTCGAGCATTTAAATTGTTTTAGATTTTTTAAACACTAGAGGTAACTTTTCAAAGTTTGAATCTCTCTTTTTCTTCCCTTTGCTTTAGTTAGAAAGTTAAGGTTTAGTTGATAAATATGATGTTCGATTCATATAGGCTATGGGTCTGAATCCATTGACTTAAATAGATTTAATAAGATTTGATTGAGCTAATAAAACTTAACATTTATGGTTTTATGAGTATCAATGATTGAGGGTAGTAAATACCCAAAAAATCCCACTATAAATATGGTAGTTGGGATAATGTAACTTTATTAATGATTATTTAATAGTTTAATAAGGTTAATGTGAATTAGAAAGAGTTAAGAAACCCTATAGGTTTTTAAGGTACCCTTGTATAAGAAGAGATTGAATCTTAAAAGCAAAGAAGTGTTTGAGTTAATAGTAAAAACTATCCAAAAAAAGGGTATTGATAATTTATATTGTGATTAATTGCAAAATGAGCATATTTAGCACCATAAGTTTTGTGAAAGCTTTAGGAGCGTGTAATTGAGGGGTGAAAACTTTAACCTCTCAAAGGTTTGAGATAATTAAAAGAATTTTTTCTTGTGCTCTTGCGTGTTAATTAATTTATTAATTTGTGCTTAACAATTGAAATGTGTGAAATTACTCAAAGCAAATGTGGCATGAACTATTTCAAATTTATATTAAAGTTTTTTAGAGTTTAATGACATTGTATATGCAAAATTTTATGAAACATTATTACTAAAGTGCTATGACATGATTTCTTTAGAGTTCAATGATATGATTTGATAGGGGGTTCAATGATTATGTGTTAAGTAAAGTTCAACGACTTGATGTGTGAATAATTCAATGAAATAGAGTTTTGTAAAGTTCAATGAAATTATATTTGTGGAGTTCAATAAAATGTGTAGTTAAGGAGTTTGACGATTTGATTATGAGTGTTAATGTGATGCCCATGTATGAGATGAGTATAATGATGATGTTATACATGCCTGAACATTGAGTAACTCCATGCCTTGAAAGGTTGCATTGTTATGTATCGCATGATCTTGAGAGGCAAGAGTTCATCTAGAAAGAGGAGTAGAGAATAAAATCTATGTGATAAAGCTTCCATCAGAGCTCGATGATTTGCCTAGGTTTATCATATCCATCATCCTACTTGTTTAATGAGGGACTGTCTCATTGGTTTAATAAAGGATTTGAACCTAACTAGTTATCTACTTGTTCAACGAGAAAGCTAATACAAGGAGAATGACATCTTATAGTGCAAAAAATGGGAGAAACTGTGACTCACAAGTGAGTTAGGAAACCTTAGTCGGGTAACCTTTCACGTGAATTTGGCTAGGTTAGTCTTAGTTCATAAATGATCTCAATATGTTATAACCTATAATTTTGTGTCAGAAGAATAAATAGGATATAAAGGAGGTGTGATTATGTATATAGTGATAAAAGAGCACATAATTGTCTGTATTGTGACTCTAGTGATGAAAATCGTGAGATTGGTCTTATACTTTTGTGAAAATGTGTAAATAAGTCATTATCTTATGATTACATGCTAATATGAATAAAAATTTTCATTAATGTTTCTAGATCATGCTAAATGAATTAAGAATAATATCATGCCATTTGTATTTAAATTAATTGACATGCATTACTATGAGTTAAAAGCACCTTAGTTATTGAGTGATTATACTCACCCCATTATTTTTAATATTACAGGAACTAGTTTATTGGGACACAAACTAGGAAAACATACTGAGGATTAGGACTTGAACCTAAAATTAGTAGGCCTCATTTATTTTGATTTAGTTTTATGTATAATTTAGATGATATTTCCAACTAAGAAGAATTCATGTGTTAACTTACTTGCATTGTGTGATTGTGGAATTATGTTGTGTATTTTGAGCCCTAAAATTGTATTTGTAATCATTGTGAAGTCTATAGAAAGGTCAAAATACTAATGTAAATAAGGGATAAAAATTTCATATGATTGGTAAATGATTTATAATGTTGAGGCTCCCCCATCTCTTTTTAAGATTAAAGGGTTGAGTAATGAAAATGTGTTTTATGTGGTATGTTAGTGATGTAGTGTATTACACAAGTCCATTTTAGTCCACTGAGTGTGATCTAAATTGTGTTTGTCGCTTTTGATTTTTGGTATGAGTTTTGGGCACTCAAGTAGTGGGTAATTGTGAAAAAGAGTGAATTTTGAAATAAGTGTCTAATTTTTTATTGAAAAATAATTTGAGTGTGAAATCAAAGCCATTAGTTATGGCTAGGAGATAACTTTATGTAGATATCAAGATCGTCTCAATTGAACATCGAAAGTTCACCTAGTTGTTGTCAAATGACAGCAAAATCTGTTATAACAATCATGTAATGCACCGCGACGCATTGTGCCTGAGTCACGACGCAAGTGTGGCGCACGCCTCATGCCTCTTTTTCTACATTGAGTCACTGTTTTCCAATTTTAAATCAAATGCATTAAATTTTTTTTTTTTGAGATCCCATGCACATTGATTTATAATTGTAAAGATTTTTTTGGGATGTTTAAAGTGTTGAAAATTTAGGATCCCACTTGTATAATTTGACA